AAGATACGAATTCATTTATCAGCTATATGCTAAATTTGAGTTTAGTACATTTCGGCGTGGCCCATTTGGCGTGGCTGATTCGGCGTCAGAAAAGTAATTGGACTATTCGGCATAGCCGCTTAGGCGTCAGAAAAGTAATTGGACTATTCGGCATAGCCGCTTAGGCGTCAGAAAAGTAATTGGACTATTCGGCATAGCCGCTTAGGCGTCAGAAATGTAATTGGACTATTCGGCATAGCCGCTTAGGCGCCAGAAAAGTAATTGGACTATTCGGCATAGCCGCTTAGGCGTCAGAAAAGTAATTGGACTATTCGGCATAGCCGCTTAGGCGCCAGAAAAGTAATTGGACTATTCGGCATAGCTGCTTAGGCGTCAGACTGTTTCGTCGTCACTGTTTATGTTTTATTTCCATTCATATTTTCGTATTTTCTGTTTTTCTTTCCATTTATATTTTCTTATTTTCTGTTTTAGTTTTTTCTTTCTAATGCTTTGAGATTTCGCTATTTTTTTCTTTCTTTTCTTTTTCATTCATATTTTGCATTTTTTTCATTATTTTTTCTTTAGTTTTTATTTCGATTGTCTTATTTTTCTTTCTTTGCTTTTCTCCTTTCTTACGTTCTACACCTGAAACTATTTCGTTCCTTTCTTTTTCTTTGTTTTCCTTTCTTTTTCTGCTTTTACATCGATAACATTTGTCATTTCCTTTTATTACTTTTTTAAAAAAAAGATTTCTCTTCACTTCAAGGTAAAAGAAAAATAAGTTTTTCTTCCATATTAAATATTTCTATCTCCGTGTTTTTACCATCCTTTCATTTCTTAAAATTAATTTTTCCATTTACTATATTTTCTATTTAATTCTCTTTTTCTTTCCCTCTTAAATCTTTTCAATATATTTATTTCTTTTTTCCTTTTTCCTTTTTCCTTTTTACGGCTAATCTAAAAATAGTCATCCTGTTTACGTCTAGAGAGAACTTTTTCGCAGAAAATATCGAAAGAAAATGCTGCCTCTTATAAACACGCGCCTTGAGTTTTTTATATGACGATACGAGATAAAACCGAAAACTTTTCCTGGGCTGTGTGTGCATTCTTTCTATATTCGTGTAGAAAGAATTCTTGGTCTATTCGTTATACTTAAAATCAGAAAAAAAAACAGTTGAAATTTCTGAAGTACATAACGAGGAAGGAGACCTTAGAAACAAGGCAATCAAAAATAAGCAATATCTCACATGCATAATCATATCTGAAGTATGTCTCAGGTACATTCCAAAAGCTGTCTATATTTCTTAGATGAGGTATTGTGTACATTATTTACATTATTCGGACTATTGTCCTCATCTTTGTCGCCATATTTGTTACAAAGTTTCGGCCGTTGTACGCTCCGGCCTCCTTCAGGTGGTTGGAATGTCGAACTGAACCCTTTATTTCGCTCACTGGGTTTAGACTGTTCTAGTTCCACGTGCCATGTTTTAATGGATGTCAGTTATCAGTTAATCTCCTGTTAATTTTCCCTCTGAAAGTTCTCCACTGCCTTAACCGGGTATTGAACTCAAACTCTTTGGGTTCTGTCACTGGATCTAACATGCAATGATAACAGCAAAAATTGCAATATTAGCACTGGTAAAAATGGTTGCTGAAACATTATGTTTATAATTCCCAGAAATTGATACACAGATGTCTTCAAGGACACATGGCACAGTGGATAAAGGCGTTGGTTAGATCCAATTGCAAATGACCGAATCTGAGGAAAAATAGAAATCGATTTTACCCTGTCACTCTAAAACTGACCGTATGATGAAAGAAAGGAAACTAAAGCGGTTCGTTTCAATTAATTTGCATAAGAGTGTATTTATTTCAAATCATTACAATACACTAATCTCCTTCATAGTAGAACCCCAATATTCTTGTTCTAGCTCCCAAACCACTTTTTGAAGGCATCTAACTTGGCCTCCAAAATGAAAGTGTCATGTATCCTCGTTGCAGCCTCTTTAATCTGTCCAATATTCTGGAAAAGTTATAGGCAGTCATGGTTATTTCATAGGTTTCTTATTTCTGCAAAAACATCACAATAATCCCGACGATCTACTGCATAAGGCATCCCCCGCTTGTCGAATGTTCCTTTTATCATACTATGCATTTACGTCACTAAAGCTTTCCTTCGTTATCGTTAAATGCAATTAAGCGAATACGCAGTTTATATTAATTATATTGAAAAAAATAGGTGAACTTTCCTAGACTTCTCGAAATTGCGTTCAATGTCTGTTTTTCGATGTCAATCGTCGTCTGCTGTAACTGACATAGAAGAAATGCAACAGCATATTTGAGGATTTTCTATCAAACATTATATATTTGCAATTTAAATCTTCCTGTAAACCTGATTAAAACCTATGTAGGTCCTTTCTATTTGACATCCTGACGCAGTATATTCTTTACTGCACTCAGCTTATACTGCATTTATGTAACACTAAAAAAGTTAATGAAGCATTATTTTTGCAATTTTTGCTTGTGGCGTTTTCATCTTATCTTATATTGTTGGGTATGTGACTATATCTTAGTGTTTCTATCAACAAATTCTTTGTATGGCTCAAAAAGAGTCCGTTGCATAGAAAACTTTATTTTCCACAGATTTCTTGGGACCAATATTCTAAAATTGGCCTGTGTTCACTTCTTGCTGAAAACTAAATTAGATAATCTTTTTCTCGTGGTGTTAAAGACTACAATTAAAGAGTGTTAAAAAGGAAATTAACTCTTTTTACATTCTCGCTTTCTTCCTAATTAATACTTCGTAAATTATATCCAACAATTCAATGTCAATAAAAAAAAGGCAGTCAAGTCCGCTATATATACTATGATAAACGAAACTTTTTTTACGTATTTTATTATTTATTTTGATCAATTCTACACAAGAAGGTGAGAATGCCGCTAAGATGTAAGGAGGCCACTGGAAGTGAAAGAGAATGAAAAAGAATTTAGAAAGAACCAGAAACCCAATCCTAAAAAAAACCTCTACTCCTGTTCAAAGGCCCATTTCTTCTTTGTGATGACTCATGCTAATCTCCGGATCGGATAATTCTGGGAATGACGATAAAATGCATCCGGTCTCTGATCGGGGGATTAGAGATTTGAAGAGCGTGGAATCACCTCTTAATTGCCACTGTTCCCAAGTTCATTCTGACTCGAAGCGGTAGCCACTAATAGACTCCCAGCGAAGGACAAATAGTGAATCCACCATAGACAAAACGCTATGAAAGTATACAAATAAATTTTATAATAAAAATATTAACAATACATTTTGCCCGTAGTTGAAACCATACAATTGCGTTCAAAATAGGTTTACCTGAAGCCATAAAATTGTGTTCAAAATATTTAGATTTCGGCATTAAATAATCCATAAAGGTTGATATGCCACTAAGCAAAATCAGCTAACCAACCTGAAATATTCACCGTGCTGATAACAAATATGCTCGTTTACCTTGCGCAGATAAGTACGAACATTTTAGTAATTGCGCAGGCCAGTGTTGCAAACATTGTGTGAAAATTTTGTGTGAATTGATTGGACGGTTTTTGAAATATTAGAAAAAAGTTATCTCGATAATAATTTGGCACGCAGTGTATGTCTACGCTGGTTTGGAAGTAGCACTAAGCGTTAGTTTATGCCACAGTTGCGAGTGACCAATATTGCTCGGTGTTTCGCAGTAGGTAATATAAGTTCGGAAAGACATATACCGTATATATTCATGATACTTACCTGGCACAGGGCTCTGTCCCTGTTCTTGTGGTATCACGGCTACGACTAGATTGGACAGGCTCTAACCAGCTTGGACCAGCTTGGACCAGCTATGACAAGCCAAGACCAACTATGACTAGCTTAGACGAGCTCTAACGAGTTTGGACAAGCTATGACCAGCTAATACCAGCTTGGACAAGCTATGACCAGCTAAGACCAGCTTGGACCAGCGGCCCGAGTGAAAACACTCGGGTCTCCACGTTAAAAACTGACCTTGTGTCACAACCTGACTCAGTGGGGGGAGATCAAGTAAATACCGTATATACTTGTATAACGTGCGATGAATATTTTTAATACGGCTGTAGTATTTGACTACAGTAAATATATATATAGTTTGGTCACCTGCGTAGCGAAGTCCAACAGTACGTATGATCATTTTATATGCATGATGCGACCCTCTTAGAATTAGCTTCAAATATAGGTATTCAATATTCGCATGATACGCGAGTATATACAGTAAATTCTTCCAGAGTAAGGCAAGTATTAAACTCATGGAAACCAGTGTATTTAATAAATAACCAAAGATCATGTACGCGTGTATATCATCCAAGCTGTAAAAAACAAATTTCATCATATTTCTTGGGATCTCAGCACTTAATTCATGCCGTTCGTTGCATCGGAATGAAGAAAAAATTGCTGTGTGCATTTATCGAGGGATTTTGATACATAATTCAAAGGAGAATTATTTGGGGAAGGCTTTTAGCAGTCTTTCTGATGGTGTACTTTCTTCCCTCAAATTTCGTCGCTACAATTGAAGAATCAGTTTCTCTTTTTGTTTGCCATGAACTGCCACCTCTCTACTACCAACAGTTCTGATTGTCTACTGATTTTTCGAGGACGGCACGTCAGAGCCGGGCTCAGGGGAGGTCACCCACTTCGACGTATCCATCTTGAAGCCAGGCTTTAAATCAAGTTAAGGAACGTTGTCCTTGGGGAGGGGCAGGCAAGGAACAGAATGATACAAATGAACATCAGCGGGAAGATGTAAATTAGAAATAGTAGTTTCAGAAGACATGATGAAGGAATCGATGGGGAAAAGAGGTAAAAACCCTTAGGAATAATGGCTTAAAGACGATAAAAGCGATGGCGCTATGAAAAGAGAAATGAAGAATAATAGAGACAAATAAAATAAAAAAGAAATAATTAATTAAAGAAGAAGGAAAAGAAAGACGAAGGGAAGAATAAATAGAAGGAAAAATGGGGTAAAGAAAAGCAATTATAAATAAAGGGAGGAGATTCGGAAGCCGGAAGAGTGGAAGGAAAGAAAGGAAAGACAAAGGAAAAAGAAACGATAAACAGAAAAGGGGAGATAGAAGGAAGATAACGATGAAAAGAAAAGCAAAGATAAAGAGATGAGAAAAGTTAGAGAGAAAAGGTAAGAAGAGATAAATATAGATAGAAGAGACAGATATAAATAGATGGTAAAAGTAAATATAATAGAGGTAAATAAAGAGAAAAGGCTAGATAGAAAAGGAAAGGTAAAGAGATGAAGAAAGTTAAAAAGATAAAGAAAGATAGAGAGAAAAGGCAAGAGAGAGAGAGAATGAAGAGATAGATAAAGAGAAAAGGAAAGAGGGAAAAGCAAAGATAAAGTGAAATATGAAAAGAGAGAGAGAAAAGGCAAGTTAAACAGAAGAGATAAATAATGAGAAAAGGAAACAGAAAAACAAAGGGAAAGGTATAATGAAATAGAGAGAGAAAAGGTAAGATAGAAAGTAGAGGTAGACAAAGTGAAAAGAAAGAGATAAGGAGAGATAAAGAGATGAGGAAAGATAAGGAGATCAAGAAAGATAAAGAGAAAAGGCAAGAGAGAGAGAGAGAGAGAAAGGAGGGATAGATAAAGAGAAAAGGAAAGAGGAAAAAAAGCAAAGATAAAGAGAAATATAGAAAGAGAGAGAAGGGGCAAGACAAACAGAAGAGATAGATAATGAGAAAAGAAACCAGAAAAAAAAGGATAAAAAGATAAAGAAAGATAGAGAGAAAAGGCAAGCGAGAGAAAGAGAGAGAGAGAGAAGAGATAGATAAAGAGAAAAGGAAGAGACAAGGCAAGATAAAGAGACAAAGAAAGATAGAGAGACAAGGCAAGATAAAAATTATAGATAGATAAAGAGAAAAATGAATGAAAGAAAAGGAAAAATAAAGAAATATGGAAAGAAAGAGAAAAGGCAAGATAGACAGAAGAGATAGATAAAAAGAAAACAGAAGAGAGAAAAGGAAAGATAAGGAGAAAGGAGAAGCCATTCGGCAAAGGAAAGATAGACAGAAAAGGTAAGATAGAAAGAGAAGAAAGAGCAAGAGAAAAAGAAAGAGAAAAAGAAAAAGGAAGAGATAAGCAAAAAGAATTCATATAGAAAAACAGTAGCGTTCGGGAAGTTCAATAAAACAATGAAAAGAACGAACGAAAGAAAAAAAGGTAATGTAAAGGAAAGTCATGGACAAAAGAGAATAACGATAGAAAGAAAAGAAAAAGAAAAGTTAGATAATGATAAGAAAGACAATGATAGAAAGAAAAGAAAAAGGACAGAAAAACGAGCGGAAGTCAGGCAGGGATAAAAGGCAACAAATAACAAAGGGGAGTAACTCTATATAATTGAAAACTACCGAAAAAATGATGAAGAAAGGAAAAAAATACAACATGAAATAAAGAAAAGCTTTCATTCGAAGAGATAAAAAAATTCAGCTAACAAAAAAAAAAAAAAAATAAAACAGTATCCATGGAAACAATGGAAAAATAAAACAGTGGAAAATAATTAGATGAAAAAAAAAACTATAAAAAGATTTAAAAGAAATAAAGGAAAACACATTGCGGGAGAATTTTAACGAACGGCTGAGGTGAATACATTGTTGGTTGCAAACAAAGAAGAGAGGAAATATGAAAATGCCCCACCTCCAAAATAAAAAAATAAAAAATATCGAAGGTTAAAACAGAAGGTAGTAAATGAAGAAGGTCGAAAATAAGATACAACTATAGGTGTTTATATAAAACAGGAAGTAACGGGTCACTATGTCTGCATATAATTCAGTAAATAGAAATAATTTGATATGAATTTAAAAATAACAGTAAAATGATATCAAAGAAAGTAAAAAAAGAAGAAAATGAATTTGACTGCCATTTGTAAGGCAACGAGACACACAATGCAAAGAAATAATGAAGAAAGAAGGAATGAAAAGAATTTAAGGGAGAAACAAATAAAAGAACAACAAGCGAGAATAATGAATTATGGGAAGGCAAAAACTTGTGATCGGAAAGAAAAAAGTAAAAAATAGCAAATGAGGAAAAATGAAAACGAGAGAAATCTTTCCATTAAATCTTTCATTCGAAAGATTTAATTGAAAGATTTAGGAAGAAAGGTTTGAAAGAAAATGCAAGGAATAAGCGAATGGAATAAAGTAAAAATAAGAGCTAGCAGAAGGCGGGAAGGAAAAAGGAACGGAAATAGTTAACAGATGGCGAGGAAGAAAATAAAAGTGAAAGAAGAACAAGTATGATTGGGAAGAAAAAATGAAGGGTTTTGGTGAAGTTAATGATTGATTATGGAGGCGAAAAGGAAATGAATTCGGTATCGAAAATCTAAGATAGATTAAAAAAGAAGAGGAAGATTTAGAGGAAGGTTAAACGTATGAAGGGGTCGAAAGCTGGAGTTAGAAGGTAAAATAGAATAAAAGAAAGTAGAATTTAAAGAAAACAGAAGTTAAACAAGCAATAATGGATGGAAAAAGGTCAATTATGTTAAGCAAGAATTTACATGCAAATGGAAATAACAGGTGAATGTTCAGTTAAAGAAAACTTTAAAAATATGAGCTATATAAAGCAAATATGATGTAAGAAAGGAAGAAGGGAAGACAAAAGAAATTCTTTTAGATTTGTCTTTAAATGATGAAATTAATTTGAATATTTGTTTAAGAAGCAGAAAATAAATCGTTTAGGAAAACAGAAGCGAAATCCTAACGGAGTAAATTACAAACATTCAATAATTAATTAGAAAAGAACTTATTAATCAGGAAGTAAAGACATAAACAAAGCAAACTATTAGGCTAAAATTTAAGAAGAAACATTACATATATATATATATATATATATATATATATATATATATATATATACAAAAGAGAGAGAGAGAGTATATATATATATATATATATATATATATATATATATATATATATATATATATATACACGACTCTCCTGTCGAATTCGACGTATGAGTGTCAAAAAGATCAGTTCCTAGAAAACTGACAAGCCGACACCAATACATGAGATTTGATTTTAGGGGTGAAGGTTTTGGGCAGAACCATCCACACTTTTGGAAGGGCCGAATACAGAGCCAACGTGCCACAGGATCCCCAAACGACCCCGGCAGGTTTTGAATTCAGAGTTCTGCTTCTCCCAGACGTTGCCATCCAAGGCTATAGAACATAGTCTGTCCTGTTATTTATTCATAGCTGGAGGAGAAGAGGATTCACACTTTTCCCAAGGGTATTAGCACGTAAGTGAAAGCAATGGATTCGACTGGAATTCGAACTCCGATTCCTCAATCAAGCCGCTATCTATTACTTTACCCCGAATATATATATATATATATATATATATATATATATATATATATATATATATATATATATATATATATATATATATATATATATATATATATATATATATAAAACAAAGTGAAAAAAATTTTACTTGTGTCGTATTTCGACTACATATGCAAAACGACAGTGGGTTGCTGGAGATTTTAGAGTTATTTTTTCATCAAGCCGCATTAATTTGTAATCTTTTTTATTTTTCTTGCCTTCGCTTTTGTCAATAGGTATTCCGGAATGTGATATTAGAATATATGCCAGGAATGGTGAAATCTTGTAAGAGCCAAGGTGGACAATATATGACTTTGCGATAGGGCATTATATATATATATATATATATATATATATATATATAAATTTAGTGAGTTAGACAAACCTACCTAGGTTTCACGTATGCGGATCGTCAGTAAAGCCCGCTTTCCCTGATGATCCGCATACGTGAGACCTACGTAGGTTTGTCTGGCTCACTAGGTTTATCTAGGTTTGCTCTATGGTTGTATTGAGGTCTTTTGTTAGTTAGTTGTTTACTCGTATCGGGGTTTTTCCTTTTGGGTTTCGAACCTGTATCTGTGCGACTTTTTTCGACAGACTTTCATGTTTCTTGCTCTTTCTTTTTTTAAAACCTTTTTTTCCTCGAGATTGATTTGATTATTGGCAAATCAAAAATTTGAGTTTTTTTCGAAACGAGTATAGCTATCTATCTATCTATCTATCTATCTATCTATCTATATATATATATATATATATATATATATATATATATATATATATATATATATACAGGTGTCCATAAAGTTCGTGTGAACTTTAAAAAAATTATAATTCTATTTGTATGTGCGATAGAAATAATCTGTAAAAAATGTTATAAACTTTAATGTACCTAGTTTTAAGTATAGCTAAAATAACTAATGTGATTTCAGGCGTTACTGTAAATCAGTTGGCAAATATTTTCCGTGAACTGAAAAATCGTATTACTCTTTGTATTGTTAATATTGGAGGACATATGGAAACTTAAATAAAATTTCAATAAAATTTTAAAAAATAGAGATTCACTTCTTTCTAATCCTTTTTACAAATTATTTCTATCGCGAATACAAATAAAGTTTTAAATTTTTAAAGTGCACACGAACTTTATGGACACCCTGTATATATCTATATCTATATCTATCTATCTATCTCTCTCTATATATATATATATATATATATATATAGGGAGGGAGGGAGGGAGGAAGAGAGAGAAAAAGAGAGATAGACATACATACATAAATAGAGAAAACCAGTAATTTATGAAACAAAAGAGAACAATTTTCAAGGAGTTGTTGGAAGGCAAGCAAATAACACAAAAACCGAAAACAAAGACAAGATGTATGGATCATGTAGCGGAAACTAATGAAGAAAGAGGAGAATAAAAGAATACTGTAAATCCTGAATGATAATCAAAAAGTAATCTGTAAAAGGATCAAACTATTTGAATATAATATGGAATATATACGGACGGAAATATCTGAGTAAAGAAAGAAAGAAATAGCAAAAGTATAAAGAGTGTCTAATAAGAAATTTGAAAGACAAGAAATGAAGCGATTACTTTGAATGAATGCCCGAAATGATAGGAAATGAGACGAGCAGAAAATGAAAAGAAATAATGCGAGAGAAATGCATGTGAAAATTTATTTTGAGAAAAATATAAACCAAGAAACAAAAAGGAAGAAAGCTTTTAGAAGAATGTAAAAAAATAAAAGATGGAAACCAATTAAGTAAATTGTAAAAGATGGTCGAATAATTCAAATGGAAAACAAGGGATAATAAATCATTAAGAAAGAAAGAAAGAAAGAAAGAAAGATTTAAAAAAGTGCCTAAGTCATGAAACCTCGTCAAAGGAGCAAGGAGAAACGATATTCCCAAAGGATAAACGCTTGGATATTTTAGAGTATAGTTCAAAATATATGGAAATAAAAATAAAGATGTTGCAAAGGTAAAACAAAAGAAAGAGAGTGAGTAGAGGGAATATCACAAAGAAAAAAAGACGAAGAGAAGAATATTAAAAAGTGGATGAAAAAGGAAAAGTTGGAAGAGACAACCATTTAAAAAAATAGTGAAAAGTTATCGAAAAATAAAAGAAAATCTAGAATGAAAGACGAAATTGAGGTAATATATTAACTTAAAAACATTAAAAGGAATTACATGTTAAAGATTAAATTTGAAAAGTGAACAATAAAGTAAAATGTAAAAGAAAGATGAAGTAAAAATTACAAGAAAGCAAGAAATATACAATGAAGAAAGAAAGAAAGAAAGAAAGAAAGAAAGAAAAAAAGAAAGAAAGAAAGAGGAAAAGACAAGAAACTATATTAAAGAAAGAAAACTTGAAAATTAAATATACGGAGAAAAGAAAGAAAGAAATAAAGAAAGAAAAAATAAAATAAATAAATAAAGGAAGGAAGGAAGGAAGGAAGGAAGGAAGGAAGGAAGGAAGGAAGGAAGAATGAAAGAAAGAAAGAAAGAAAGAAAGAAAGAAAGAAAGAAAGAAAGAAAGAAATAGGAAACGGCAAGAAATTATATTAAAGAAAAAATGGAAAATTAAATAGACGGAGAAAATAAATAAATAAATAAATAAATAAAGAAAGAAAGAAAGAAAGAAAAAGAAAGAAGAAAAGTCAAGAAACTATATTAAAGAGAGAAAACTGGAAAAGTAAATACACGGAGAAAAGAAAGAAAGAAATAAAGAAAGAAAAAATAAAATAAATAAAGAAAGAAAGAAAGA